CCCCAAAACCCCAAAACCCCAAAACCCCAATTCTCAATGTTAAATTTAAATGTTAACTGAAAATATAGATTTTATAGTTTCATCAAAAGTATAAGTTTATTCAGATTAGTTGAGTTAGTTGAGTATAGTTTAGATTATGATAGTTCAGTGTCCATTTAAGTCATGTTCATGTAAATTTCTTTATCTTATACTTATCAGCTATTTCTGTGATGATCTTATTAATTTTTTTCTTATCCTTTGCCATTCTTACTCTCAATTAGAAAATCTCTTTAGTGCTATGTTTATCTACGAATTACTCCATAGTCATAAATCCTCCTCCTACTCTTACCATGAGAATTCCATTAATAATCTAAGCATGAAAAAGTCTCATTCCAAACAAATACTTTGACTGGTCAATACGAGTGATGGGAACCCTGACTTTATAATGTTTTACAAAATTTTCTAGCATTTCATCAATTCTATCTCCCTCAATTTAAGCTTTGTATGTGATGTGATTCTCAAACATATCTACTTTATTGTATTATACCTATTCCTTTTGGTTTGGATTCATCGTATTTTATCTTGATATTTTAGTGGATGGAGATTACCCTTTGGCTTTTTAGTTATGCCCAATTAAATTAATATTATCTCTATTCTTTAAACCAATGTTTGTATTTGTCTTTTTCAGACTCTTTACAAAATTATTGATATTTTTTAAGGGTTCATTTCTTATATCTTCCAGGTTATCTCTGTTTTTTTCCAAATCAAAAACATCTTCAATGAATGAATCTTAATCATCTTCAATGTCTTCAGTTATCAGGTATGTTATCTCTTCATTCTCTTAATGTTTTTTGATGATGTTAGTTTAAGATGTTTTCAACTTTTCTTAAGATTAAGATCTTTATCTTTTACCATGATCCTAACTATTGTCAATAATAGATTTCATTAGGGAATATTTCAATCCTTTTAGCATAGTTTCTCTTTCATGATGATGGAGATCTTCCATCTTATCGAAATTAATATCATTAAAACTTGGTTTATTTTACTTTAAAGTGTTGTGTCTTTTGCGCTTGTTTTACATTGCTATAGTAATTCTGGTTTTTCTAATAAGTTTCTGTTCAATCATTGCAATAAGATTTGATGAGGATGACTTTTATGTTTTTGTTTTTGTTTTAGTACTTGCTGATTGTTGAATACCTTATTGGTTATCATTGAGATTTTAAGAATTTTCAAAGACAAAATATGGGTCACAATTTTTATCATTTAAATTGTTTTAGTTAGATGAATTTGAAATTATTGAGTCTTCTATATTATTGATTCTCCTATCATTTTAGATTTTTGAATCAGATTTATCCATTTTATTATTAGCAATGGTTTATCTCTGAGAAGAGATAAGACTTTTATGAAAATGATCTGTAAGTCTTTGATCCTCTTGCTGATGAAGAGATCTTATAAGATTATACTTTTCACTTATCCGTGAGGTATGCTTATTCTTAGATTTAGATTCTGAATTTCGTTTATAATAGGATGATTCACTCACACTAGAATGGGAAATGAAGTTTTCTTGGGTCTAGCTTGAGGAGATAAGTAATTATCGATCTATCTCTGATTGATTCTCCTCAAAATGATTCATTTGATCTCTTATTTATGATGGCTTATTTGATTTTTTTGTAATGGATTTCTTATGCATTCTTCTTTCATCAGTTCTAGTGGTAATGCCCACACGCATACAGCAGTTTCCCATCTATTTCTACCTCTAAATTATTATATTATTTTGGATAATTAATCTCTTTTGCTCTCGGTATAATTTCTAATGGGGTTTTGGGGTTTTGGGGTTTTGGGGTTAGATCGGAAG